TTCCTTATTTATCTTCTGTTTTGATACAGTCTAACACACTGTTTTTCTCCAGCTTCAGTTAGCAAGAATAATGATGTGACTAAACTAGTTTTAACACTGCATTCTCAAAGAATGGTTTATAAACGCATCTACATTCAGGGTTTTTTTGCACTGACAGCCCTTAATCCTCCTGGGTGGGGCTTTACAGGCAAAAGATGAAGAGTCCTCAGACAACTGTGACGATTGAAGAGTCCTCAGACAACTGTGACGATGGTTGAACAGTGAGTAACAAGAACCAGGTAACAACTGTGATTATAGTTATGCCAACAACATAATAAAGAACCTCACTTTTTATGTGTATTTACAGATAAGCAAGTCAGAGAACAACCCACAGGTCCACAGGGTGTCTCAGTTTTAATACAAAAGCATGAAGATTTTGAACAAGGTAAGTCTAATTTCACACATGCAAAGACTTCAGAATGATTCTTTGTATTGCAATGCTCTGAGCAGGTCCCACCACATTTGCCCTGCACTTTCCAGAGTTCTAAGCCAAGGTGACTGGCTTTTTCTTGCTGTGCTACAACATGTAGAAATCTTACTCCTGTCAGTTAGGCATAGGAAGCATTTTTCTTCATTTCACATTGGTACTGATCCCCTTCTTCTGAAGACTTGCTCCCTCCTTTTACCCCAGCTTTTCTTCTTCCTCCTTGATTCTCTTTAATTAATAGTAGACTAGAGAATAGAGTAACTCAAAAACCCTAGAAGTCTTATGATTCTAGGCACCCCTATTCTAGCAATCCAGGTTTGAGGGCTAGGGAGAGGTTGTCACTAAATATCCTGTTGCGCCCCTGCCCCCAACTAGATTGCTTGCCATCATGTCTAGAGGCTATCAAGAAGCAATAAGATGATGTTCTGTGTTCTCCTTTGCACATCTGTACAATTTTCTCTGTGCACTACACTTTATAAAGACCTTCTCTTCTATTGCACTGCAAGTACCGGCGACTCACAGTGGGAGAGCAACTTGTTTCTATTTAAGTGAAGAATCAAGCCGAGTTTTGTCAAAATAAACTGTCAGATGGAGCACTGATCTTTAGAGGCAAGAAGCAAGCAATGAGAACAGAGGGAGCAAATACTCAACTCTTCCATCTCATATCAGCATTGCCTGCTTTTCTTTACAACCTATCTTTAGAAGTTAATATCTCAGTTCTATACTTCACACAGATACAAGTAACCTCTTGAGGGAGTTCAAGTCTGAATGGAAACCCTCAGAAGAAAATAGCGACATCAGAGGAAGCATGACTCCTCACCAGGCTCAGTTTCATCAGTGACAGGCCTGAAGATGAGTCTTTTCAGAGGACTCAACCACATGAGCATTTTGACATCTTTTTAGCTGACAAGGAGGAGGAAATCTTCTTAAACTATGATTATAGGCAGTACATACCATACTCCCTTATTATCCATCTACAAATAGAGTATTTCTTGAGTCATGCATTTGAGTACACAACTTATTTTCCTTTCTGTTAAGGGTTATTCAATATTAAGAGCTATCTCAGGATCACTGAAAATTTCAAATATCCTGTTCTCCAAGGAACAACAGTGCTTAAAGAGGCTCCTCTAAGAGCGCACAGACTACTAGAGAGTCAGGTTACTCAGAAAATTGCAGAAAATTGTTCCTCTTCTCCACTGCAAAACAAGTTTTCAAAATGATAAATTGGTTTGGGAGAGACCTCCCAAGGCAGGACTGATAGGAGGTAAAGGTGCCCAAACCTTTGGAGACTGTCTCAGAATTGAAGCATACATGTCACTGATTAAAAAAACTAAAAATCCCAGAGAAAATTTGTATTCTGAAATAGGATGGAAATGGGAAAATTTCAGTTTTTCTTACAATGTGGCCTGGTTTGGATAATCCTTCAAAGCAACTAGATACCTAGAAGAAAATCAGGACAAGTTGCTGCAAGTTGGCTTATTCATCCAGAGACAAAAAGCTGCATGGTTTTGCTTCAATGCTATCCTGCTTTGAGAGTATCCTATCCTGTCCTAGGACACGAGTCTTTGACAGAGCACAGAGAGCATGCCACTAGTAAATCCATTCATTTCAATGAGGAACTGGGGCCTCCAACCTCAATCCTCCCAAAAAGCAATGTAATAACTCCTTAACCACTTGTCATGGAGCCTTCCAGCATGCCAATATAGTGAGATGCTAAGTGAATCAGAGTGTTAAAAAGAACCTGAGATGCTTTGCAAATGACTGCACTGCTGCCCAGAACACAGGAAGAAAACCTGAAGTGTTTCTCCAAGAAAACCTGGACCTACCGATCCCTGCAGTCCCTTTATTTGCATCCCTGTCCCTGCACTCCAGGGAAAAGCCTTCTCTTATCTGAGCTAAGGAAGGCTCCCTTCCCTCATTAACATCACTGTGCTCCCACAAAGGCTCTGCACATTTTAAAAATCATTTTCTAGCCAAGGTCTGCAGAACAATGAGCTTCGACATATTCTGCAGTACACTGCATGCACCAGGAAACAACTACAGCTCTGTTTTCCTGCGAAAGCAATGAGCCCTCATCCTAAGTCAAGTAGCAGGTGCAGCCAGCAGCTGCTGGCCCTGGATTCAAAGAACAGCCAAATACCTCAAGATAGCGTAGTGGGCACGGAAGGCCAGCATTAAGAGCTGTAACACTGCTTGTTCCCTGGAAACTTGTTAAGCATGAGAGCTGATGAACAAGTAAAAGGATATTTATTAATACTTGTTAGAAAAGGGAGCTAATTTAGCTCTCGCCCAGCTTAGCACTAGTAGATGAAGCCTGCAGACAACAGAAGTGAATTGTGAATGAACTCAAAAGACATTGCTCAGGGTGCAACTGCAAAACCAGCTACAACCAGCCCTCAAAGACACAGAACAGAATGGAGAGAGGAAATGGTTAATCTCCGGACAAGATAAGGCACTGTGAAACGGGAACATAGCAACCATCCTGGGATGTAGACATGAATCAATGAAAAGGAAAGAGACCACTGACTCAGTAAAGGAGATTGGAAGAGACTGTCACTGGCAGGCAGGGAGATAAGCCTGTAAGGAGTATAATTATCCCAGAATTTCTTTGTTCGGGGTCCCTGCCCAGAGGCACCGAGCTCGAGCTGTTAACTTTGTTGTACTGTCATTTAAATAAATAATTAATTTCACTGCTAGACGTAGGTGGGACTCTGCTGCTCGGAAACCTAGGGTCGAATTCTTTCCATAACAGTTTGGCAACCCAGATGGCACTCAAACCCACAATCCCCATTGGAAGGGTAGGTGGCTAAGCATGGATTTAGGAAGTTAGCACTAGGCACCCAGACTCAGTCACACTTCTGACTCAGCTGTTCAGACATATTTCTTGCAGCCAGTCTGCAAAGTATTCAAAAGGAAACATGACATACCATTAAGCTACCACAGAGGAACTAAGGAAATAGGGGCCTATCAATCAATTCCTGAGATAGCACCAATCAGCAAATTAATGTGGGTTGTATCATAAAAATATGATTACTTAAGCTACTTGTCATGGCTAGCAAATTAAGAGATTTACAGTTGCAATTGTCAACTATCAATAGATGACTATAGAATAAAATTTAACAAAAATAAATTAGGTAACAGCAAGTCTCTCCCTCAAGAGAAAGATCAATGCACATCCAGGGCTGCAGATGGAGTTTCCACCTATGCAAGCCACTGTGAGATGTCCCACCAGCCTTGGCTGGTCTTTGTAGAAGGTCTCAGTGAGGTGAATTGGAGCAGTGATTGAACAAAGCAGAGTTTAGCCTAGAAAACAAGTCTTTAATATTCACAAAACAAAATACCTTTGTATCAAGGCCACGTGCAGACCTAAATGGAGAAGGCAGCAATAAACTCTTTAATAGTTAGCGATCTGAGTTAGCAGATGAATAGGAGACAGCTCTGAATAGTCTTTCAGAGGAGATACAACCAGCTCACTGGATAATGAAAGCTGAGATATGCAATGTGCTAGGAAAGCCCAGAAATACAGGTACTGCAGGTCCCAGACCTGAGCTACTTCTGCACCAGGTCCACCACTGCTCTCCATTGCCAGTGGGGTTATTTACTGGGGCACAAAGCTGCTGGGTCTGGGAGCAGCACACCTCCAAGCAGTCCTGAAGTAATAAGAGGGCTGGGGAAGGCGGCACACAGCCCCCCCCAAATTTGCAGGGCTCCCACAGCATTTGTTAGCTCAGTATCAGCACGGCCGAAGCAGGGCTACGCTGCTTCTCGAGGGGAGTGAGCTCCCCGCGCTGGCATGGCATCCAGTCAGAGCTTGCAACTGCTGTCAAAGCTCAACTAAATGCTCAAGTATCTTAGTACCCAGCACACCCATAAAACAGGCCCCTTACTGTGTGTTCAGTTTGATGCTGCTTTTACTTACAGCAGAGAGAGCCAACTCATAGTTTGCCAGGAAACAGTCTGAGGAAGCTCAGAAGAGCACACGGAACACAGGGGTTAAATGCATTACTACCAGTGGTGTAGTGCATCTGTCCCAAAATGCCCATAGCTGCAGCATCAGTATATGAACGCATCTGCCATGAGTCCAATTCTCCCCAGGCACAACCAGCTAAGTGTCATGCAATAAAAATACTAAATGCTCTTACTATCTTATTGCTCTCTTATGCTCTTACTATCTTAAGTAAGGTTTTGATTAAGTCAGTTGCTGTGGCTTTTGTCTTATTTCATGATTTTAAAATAGCTCCTGACTAAAGTCAGGTCAGGCACCCAGCTCCAGGGTAACACATCAACATTAACATTACTCTTGTGTCAGATAACTGGTGATGTTTGTTATTATACCATGACAGATTCTTTATTTAAAAGCAGAAAATATCTTTCTGTCCTACTCTGTTTGGAAACAAGGGAAAGAAAGCATCTTCTCTAAAAATAAAGTCAATTCACAGCCAGGGATTATAGCAGAGGAGGAATGAGAAAGGTAAGGCAAAGGCAAGCTTTTACACTTGGCCAATTTTTCCAAGAGAAAGAGATCTGTACATACTTTATGAAGCCACAGGGGAATGTTTTCTAAGTTGTTCTGGGACGGTTGCTTTTGCTGCACAGCTGCCCAGCAATAGGAGTCCACGTAAGCAGCTTGTCTCCAGGAAAAGGAGCTTGGTGCAAAACAGCTTATCTGAGCACCTGAAAAACAAAGCAAAAGTTATCACATACTTGGAAGATTAAAAAAAAAAATCAAATTTAGAAAGAAAAGCTCATGCTTGGGATGTAGTGTTATCCGAAGCTATTGCATTAGGTTATAGAACAAAACACGGCAGTTCTGCAGAGTGCAGTCACACAGTTTTCACAGAACTGCATCCAAAGGGTTACACTCCCACACGGATTCTCTGCCATCTGGCAAGGGTTAAGCCGATATTGTACCTTTCTCCAAAGACGGGACATTAGAAGCATTTGTTTTCTATGCCTTTTTTTTTTTTTTTGGTAAGTATTTTGGGAATGTAACCTCCAAGATGCGACTCCCTCCCTTGCATTTGACTCAGGTTGGCCAAAGGGGAAACAACAGATATAAAGTGTGATCAGGTAAGGCTGATTTCCTGCTCATGATGCTCATGTGATGCTCATATCAACAGCTGTATTTCTCACATGCATAACCTACAGTTTATCCATTTAGCAAAACAAGACTGCAAATGCTGTTCCCACAGTCCAGCAGTCCTTGCAGTAACACAAGGGCAAGCTTATCCTGGGGTGCTGCTGCCTGTTCAGCCTCTGAGACTCTGCACAAGTTACGAGTTATATAGGGATTTCCAGCAGGAAATTTTGGCAGAGCAATACTGGCCTCCAGGCTCTCCCAAAGGGCCCTGGACCTCTCTTTACCAGCGCAGGGATGTGCTGTGCCCAGCGCTCAGACGTACCCCAGCCGTCCCCAAGGCACTCCCTGCACCTCTCCAGCTGCTCCAGAGCTTCAAATTAAGACCAAGGCACAGAGGATAGCAAGAAGCAGCTGTTTAGCCAGCCTCACCCCTGGAGTCCAATCCTGATCTAACCAGCTACAGTCACCAATTAAGTTTTGCCACAGCATAGCTTGGTGAGGAAGAGGACTATTATTTGATGTAGATATCAGTAGCTTCTTAGATGAGAGCTAATAAAACAGGACCAATGTTTTTGTTTTCCTTTTTGAAGCATTGATATTGAGGTTGATAATGAAAGTTTCTAGTAGGCTTCCCTAGGTCCTGAAACAGGATAGCTGCTTCATCAAATAACCGTTCAAAGTGGAAATAGCTCTTCCAAGCACAGCCTCCAACATCTCCCACCCAGGAAGTGCTCTGCATCCCTGCTGGAAAGACTCGCAGGGGAGGGAAGAACAGTTAATTGCGCAGTAACTAAGATTCTCTGTGAGCAAGTCTATCATTTGTCAGCATTATTTAATTATTTCCAGATAATTTTATTGCATTTACTTATGCCTTTAAAAAAAAAAAAAAAAAGCTTTGAAAACACAAACATCAAAAGAGCTACAGGAGAGATTATTTGCTCTTTTTTTCCTTAATACACTCATCAGAAAAGTTAGCCCTAGAAGACAGGTGCACTTTACAACAATAAATATTTTATATAAGATTGCTTCTTTTTTGTGCTTACTTTCTGGTTCAGCTTTGAGAGAATAAGAATGTATTTTATAAGAGGGGCCAACCGTATTAACACTGTAACTTCTGTTGCCATTTTACAATGTAGCATAGTCGAGGAGCATTAGGAATAAAAGCCTTCCTTTATGAGTCACTATTACAATTATTTCCAAGGCTGTAGAGTCATAAGGACATGGTTTGAATTGTCACAAGCCCCCCCTTATGGCAAACAAGCTACTATTTATCAAAAGAGAGCTCACATGATTTAACAAAGTTGGCACAACACCAGCAGTTTCACTTTCTCCAAGAGAGAAGCTGCAAGGGTTTCTACTTTCCAGAGAATTTCCATCTGTGGAAGAAATCTGTGGAAGCTCTAGAAAGACACTGCAGAAAATAAGCAACCAGTCTAAGTGTCTCTGCTCTCTGCTGGATAGGGCCCATTTATGCTCTGCTCTCATTTTTTAACAAAACCCCTGTTACTGACGCTAGGCTGTGTCTGAAGTAGTACATAAATGACTCTTTCAAGGGCAAGCAAGATGAGCGTTCAGAAGCGTGCTTTGTCCTATTCACATCTGTATCATCTGTAAAGGAAATACACTCAAAGTGCTCATTCTAGTCCATGCGTGGGAAACCACTGAAAGCAATCAAGTGTTTACATTAGTAATGAAAAAGCCAGACAGCCTCCCTCTCCAAAAAGTTATAAGCACAACTTCATATCAGACTAATTATAGCAGTCCCAGTGGTGCAATGGAGCAGTGAACACAGCTCTTCATTTTCAGAGAGTTTCAGCAGGGACTTCAGGAACCTTTGGGAACTTGACTTGGGAGCTGAGCAGAAAGAGACAGACCTCACTAGAGCTGGGGACACTCTGGATCTTGCACTGGTTTTTAATTAATTCATTGTAGAACTGGTTGTAAATACTTGCTAATGTAAATTGTAACTTTGCACTAGCAGTGGTATGTTAGGACTTAAATGGAGAGGACGTTTTTGTGCAAAATCTGGAGAACACAGAAAAATGCAGCTGAAAATGGTTACAGTTTTCCATCTTTTCTTCCTCTCTACCTTCTGAAGGAGTAATATCAATAAATCTATGCAGACAATTTAGTCTATGTTTGGATAGTCTGGAGGATGTGGTAAAAAAAAAAAAGAAGAAAAGCTGTAATCTTTACTGTAGAACTTAGGCAAAGGGCCAAATTGCTGTCAAGGAATCACTATATGTATAAATACATATGTAAATATATACGCCCACACATACACACACATATGCGGAGCTAGTTTATGGAAAGTTAATAGTCCTCTGCTATCAAAGAAACAGCCTTCCTGACTTGGCGATGTGAAGCCGTTCCCAGTCCTTTGCTTCCACAAGTAACAGAAAGGCAAAAAAATCCTAGCAGCCAAGCCCATAACGACGGCAGGGAGATACAATACACAGAGGGAAGGATGAGGAATAATAAACGACTGCATTTATTAAGCAGCTGCCTCGGCTGATTTTGTGATTACACTTGGCAACATATCCTTTTTTAATCGTTCTCTAGAAGTAATTTTCTCAGTGCTTGTGATAGGAGAGTCCTTTCCTACTGCACTCGGCACTCGGTTACTCTGCAGGTCCTCTGCAGCACTTTAAAACCCAGCACAAGCCTACTTACAGGTGCACGTCTCACCTCTGTGCTCAGATAACACCTTTTCACCCACCATGTCTAAGTTCTGCAAGCTCATTTGGGATGGTTCAATCATCAGGCGCCTGAGAGAAGATGTCCCAGTTGTGCCTGGGATTTCTTAGAGTTAAAAATGCAAGCAGTAAGCCTGCCCTGGCTCCTCTTTCACAAACAGAGGTGGAAATTTTGCTGTAGATGCTCGAAGAGCAGGATCTGAGTCCCTTCCAAGGTTCCCACCCGACTGCACTTGCTGATGCTTTCCAAAAAAGAAACTTTCTTCCCTCCTAGAATCACAAGGAAAAGTTCAGGTCTGAAGGAGACGGTTCCAGGATGGTATCACACTGCTTTGCTGCTGTGGGAAGGGGCGATGAGCAGAGGCCCAGCGTCCCCTGGCTGCTGCGCAGTCTGCTCTGGCACTGATGGGAGCCCCTGGGCTACTCCTTACCAGAGGGTTGAAGCCCAGCCTACCGGGCAGGTATCCTCCCTGCTCCCTGCTGAGGCATCTAATTAAAGCACTGCAACGGAGTATTCTAAGAATTGATATTAGTCATATGCTGAACCACTACTGAGCCAGGATCAGGAGGTTTGTATCTGACAGGATTAAACCTTCAGTAAATAGTTATTTGCTTTCTAATACACTGCAATCATTGGAAAAAGATTTGCATAGGCTTGGAGGACAATCTCGCCATTAATTACTTCTATAATTTTACACTAGGCAAAATGAACTAGCCACAACACCCAAATACCTGATTTTATCTAGCAAGAATTATCCACTTTATCAGCCACTAAAGAGAAACCCAAAACAAGAAAATCAAGCCACTTATACACAATGTACAGACTGCTAGAAACCATACAAAGCACATGCCCCACCCCAACATTAAAACCTATGAAAAACGTGAAAAAGATGTCCTGATGCATGCCAAAGACAAAACAAGTCTGTGTGTGAGTGTCTGTGTGCGTGTGTGTGTGTGCGTGCGCACACTCACGCACGTGCGTGCACATGGGCACCGGGAACAGACCAGAAGGAATGATCTTATTACATTTATAGATGCTCCTTATGGACTAAGCCAGCAAGCTGGGTAAAATAAAATAGATATTAAGCATAAGAAGGGAAGTATGGAGGAAGACAAATGGGTACATAAGTGAAAAGAACCTGTTCATTGAAGTTTACTTTGGCAAGGGAGTAGCAGCAGAAGGTAGAAGTTCAGCTAATGCAGTATTTAAGGAAGTCAGAGGAGCTATCAGGTATTTTTCCCTTTCCATGGGGATGTCAGTTATTGCTCAAAGAGGTCTCAAAAATGGGAAAACAACTAGGTATTTATGAAGCATGCCTATAAAAGCACAGATTTTTTTGAATCATAGAAAACAAAACAAAACAAAAAACTTGTATTTCTCTGTGAATAAAATTCCCACCGAGGAGATTAAAACAAAAAATTTTCTCACCAACAGCTGAAACTGTTCACCCAAAGACAATGTATCCTTTGACATTTAAGTAAATGTTTTTAAAAATTTGTCCTAGCTGCCTGGACAGGCCCGCTCTGATGACTGTAACTCCTGCTATTCACTGAACCCTCTTTAAGTGCTAAAGAGCAGCACAACTCCCACCCTGTTCTCTGAACAGCAACACCACTCAGTAGTACTTTCATCAAAAAAGTCAACATTTACATTTCTTGTAATGATTTTAATAGCTATAATGGGAAAATGTAAAGGTTCTCCTCCTGTTACCCTATGATAAAACACGTAACTGGCCAGTTTTGCAGTAGATGAACAGTGCATTTCATTCCAGGGCTAAGATTTTACAGTTTATACAGTAAAAGGAGAAGAAAAAAGAAGAAGAATCAGTAAATACTTGGAATGTCGACAGTGACTCTAGCTTGTTCTGAAGTGTTTCTCTGGACTGGTGGTTTTGAATCCTGGGCCCACAGCCCACTTCTGAAGAGGCCTATAAGGGGGATTAACTGGGGGCGGAAGCCAAAGTCTGTGCCTGGGAGCATAAGGTTGCTATGCAGCAGTCTGCACCTCCAAAGGAAGATGCATAGGAGTTCACAGATTGAGAGAGATTAAAAACCACGGCTCTAGCCAGGTGGTGCTCACACAGACCTGTCATTGATGCTCCAGTTCCAAATCACCCTCTTGAACTAAATGCAAGATGGACGAGTCTCTACCATTAGCATATAGACCGCTTCAGCAGCTCTTGGAAACATTTTTCAAGCTCACAGCCAGCAGCTACCACAGTAATAGTCTTTGGCCTAATTGTGTCCGATTTAATTTTAGCCCCTAGCTTTACGGAAGTCACAAGATAGGATTTCTCAAAAGCCTCCCCAGTGACTTTTGCATGTGAAGACAGAAGCACACCACTGGGGAGGGCCGGTGAGGGAGTAGCAGCAGAGGAAAGAAGCCTAATCCAAAAGTTAAGACTATTTCTTGGTATATTTGTCACAATTTAGTCCTACAATTTATTTTTCCTTCCTACAGATTTGAACAGCTGCTCTATAGATTTGATCTGGCTGCTGTGGGTTGGTCTGTGGCCAGACACTTCCTAACCAGTCCTCCTGCTACAAGTGATGAGCAAATACACATTCATGATGATCACACCCAAGTTTCTTGGGTCTCTTTTCTTAATGCATGACAGTTTCAGGGTCCTGGGAAGGTTTGCAAGGTCATTCATTGCATTATAAAATAAACATGGGTGCGAAAACAAGAGGGCTTAATTAAGACTAGCAATGTATGAGCCATATACAACCACAGTCCAGAACTGAAAACGCTAGTATCCGTCACAGGAGATTCCCTTCTGCCTTCTCCCACATCTTTCCTTCCTCCTTGTCTCCTCTTCCCAGTTATCAGCTCCCAAGGTAAGCCTTAGTTAATGTGCTTTGCACGTTCTGCTCACTGGCACAGCCTCATGGCACTGCAGTCTGCTGTACACAGAAATTCAGATGAGAGAATTTGGTGACAAGCAGCCACCGGCCATCAGCACATAGGTACAGTCTCTAATTCCTTTCTTACGGGGAAAGATGCAAATATCTGATGTTGTTGTTGATACTGTACACCTACTTTGCTTTCAGCTGCAACCCAAGCTAGCTGTGGATATTTTTCCTAGAACTAACTTGAAAATAGTCCTCCACCAAAATTAAGCAGCTTGTTTCAATTTCTCTCCGCCCAACTCCTCCTATCTGCTCAGGGCTTCAGTTGTTTTCCTGCAAGAAGGTCAGGATTGTCTGCTTTTATTTTTCCAGCTGCACGGCTCAGCCCTCCTGCTGCGCTCAGCTCGCTCCTATTCGGGCAGGAGTGTCGCAGCAGCCTTCTGAGACAGACAGGGCCAACGCTGAGCAAAAACTGAGGTCAGCCACTGGTCTAACGCTCGAGATGAGAAAGCTGAAGTCTGCATCTCTGGCAGCACCTGTCCTCCTCACCACTCGTGCGACAGCCGGCAACGACAGACACCACCTCCTGCTGCCCAGCTCAGCCGAGCTTCGACAACCACATCCTTGCCTGAAACATTTAGCTCTTCAGAGTCCTCTGCTCTTTTATACACAGAGATATTCCTGGCAGACACATCGACCGTGGCAGGGTTTGCAGATTTCTCCCTCACCTTCTGCATACAATTAAAGGATGACACAAAGCCATAAGGTCAGATGCTAAGCAGCAGCACTAAGCATGATTTCAACCACCCGGCCCATGGCAGAGAAGCTTCTGCTTTCACGGTATGTGCAGGGATCCTCTGACTGCAGGGGCAAAGGTACAGACTGCGAAACAGCATTTCTATGCCATACAACTAAAAACGGATATCCTGTAGCCTGCTACTGTAACAGACAGTGCCTCCATAAGAAATGTCTGTGTTTTCAGCTGACTTGTTTACACTAAGAAAGCTTATCATATAATATACACAAACAGTTTAAAAAATGGAATAACAGCCATATCTCAGAGCTACGCCTAATAAAAACATAATCATATAACAGCGACACAGATAAACTATTGATTTTCATAAGGCTGAGTGGGCCCACATCTTTATTTTATGTTTTTTTCTTCTATAAGAGGGATAGGTAGGTGATTTAGCCATATTTATGTAACTTACTGTTTACAGGGCTGTTACTGTAGTACCTGACCACCTGAAGTGTCCCAAAGAACTCCTAAATAATAAAAGAAAATAACATATAGAATGTAAGGAAATATAACACTCTTCAAACCCTCATGTTCCTATTTTTTTTTCCATTTTGAAGTTCCCAGTGTAAAAATATATAAAACAAGGACTAGAAGTGAAGAGATAACAGGTGAAGGATTTCAAGCCTTCTCTTTATCCAGTGCATGGAGTAGCAAAGCTTCCGAGGGCAGGCAGAAAACAATCGCAACTAAACCATATCCGAAAAAAATCTTAAAAGCCTGACCAACCTGCAGCTGATCATGGTTTTCTAAAATATACCTAAGAATAAATTTCTATTGTTTCTCCTCCTCTCGCAGACACTGCAAGCCTGCTGACTCCAGGGAGTTTCTGCAGCACTTACCATGGCAGAGCCTAAGCACAGAAGATGCGTTTTCCATGCCTCCGGCAGAAAAACCTCTGCGTTTAGTAAACATGTTAATACCTAATCATTATGCACAATTAACAGCAACCACACGTAGAGTGAAAATTGCCGTTATCTAACACTATGCTACAACAAAATACTAAAAGGGAATGGAAAGTGAAGTTGATGGCAGCATCCAGCTGCAGCTGCCAATATAACGTAGGTGGGAAGAACGCAATTATCCCTACACAAATAGGATCTGAGTACTCATTTTTGGAAAGCACATACACTTTCTTTACCTAGAGGCAGGGATATTTTCATGTTGTGACTCATACATTGCTTTCACAACTACTTCTGATTTTCAGTTGCTCTTCTTCAAACCTAAAATAGACCCTAACATTTTCTCTCAGTTTAGCAGTCCTGAACTTTTTCAAAGCATAATTACATAACAAAGTGTCTGAAACAAATACCTATTTTCCTCCACCATCGCTTACAGAATGATGCTCATCCAGCAACCAAACCCTTCGCCATCCCCCCAAGAGCCTTAAAGAAAATAGTTGTGTTAACTCATTTAAGCAGCCTGCCTGCTAAGCAATAAATACTGCGTGGGAAAAAGGAGATAGCTGTCCAATAGCAACACAGTTGATATAGTATCACTTTCTACATAGAAACCACGTGGTGCAGTTTCACCTCACACTGGGACCTTGCACCACACAGCCGTTCTTCTATTTTTCAAAAAGCTCGTTTTAAACACCAGTTTTTTTCTTACAGGCTCTCAGAATTACAAGCAAAAAGTAACACATGGCATATTCCTGACACGCAAGATTTAGTGTCCATTTGATTTGTTGCTTTAAGGGTGTATTGTAGGCTCCGATTCAATTTGAATTATTTTAATACTGAAGGATATAATATATACTGTACACTGAGGACCAAATGCCTGATTAGTGAAGATGAGAATTGAACTAATTAGAAAGAAATAAATATTTAAGATACCCTTTACCAAACTCTGCAATGTAACTATAAGTTGGAACTTCATGTGGGGAAGGAAAACGAGAAAAAATCTGCAGAGTTGCACAAAAGAGGACTGAAACGCAGCCACTGTTTCAGACTGAGGTGGCTTCTGCCACCATGAGAGAGCTTTCAGAGGGGAAGCAGAGGAAGAAGAACCGATAGGTCCATACCCCAGCTAGCAAACCTGCTGTGTCTACCTGCACAGCCCCATAAAATAAAAGCCCTCTTTCGCATTGTTTCAAGAGGAAGAAACATGACAGATCAGTAGTAGATCTAAAACTGAAAGCAGCAAGGTATATTGCAGAAATACTTGTGCAACCATTCAGTCTCTGCTTGACCAGACCTTCCACAGGACTCGGATCTCATCTTGACATTCCCATCCTGGTTGTCCTTGATTCCTCTGCTTCATTATTGCAAGTCACAATACTCTGTTTACATCTATTGAAATAGGTTTGTAACTAGATGAAAATAGAGCACTCTGAGGCGTCTTACCTCTTAAGCGGTCTGATATCTGATTAATGCTATTCATGATGCTTTTGCACAGATTCACCACCAATTCACAGTCCAACTCATTTCTACTCTCCTGAAAGCTACTTTACTCAGAACTATAAGATATGTAGCTTGGGTATAAAACATATATCTTGAGTATGAGACGCTGAATGCCAATAAACAGGTACATACAATAAAATCAACTATTTCTGAAAGTGCAGAAGTCACATGACTCACCTCTGTCTCAAAAGCGGACAGCAGTGCCTACTCACCTATGAAATCTTAATTCAGATAGTGCCATTTAAATTCACAACAATTTTTACATGCAGCATATTTTTATAAGCAAGCCTCTGAATTATAAATCCAAGTCACCTCAGTCATTTCTCCGACACCGAAAGGGTTGGCTACTGTGCTGCTGCACAAGTACTCCTGTAACATGGCGATAGGAGAAAAAGGACAGTAAAATAACCAGTAAAAAAGATAACTTGGCCCTTCTCATGTAAAACACACCTTGAGTCATATATCCCTTCAACAGAAGTTGCACTGGAGGAGGAGTTTCAGAATCGCTACACCTGCGGGCCTGCCCCTTGACACCACAACCAAGAAGCCTTTTCAAACTTCACTCCCACGGCGATGCTTCCTGGCAGACCAGGTCTTATGAGACACAGCAGTAGCATGGCTGACTTGGACCCCACTGCCCGCAGAGGAACCGGGCAAAACTTTTCAGAGAGCTCCCACTACTCACGCTGCCTCGACACCCACAGCCTGGCGTTCACAGGTGCAAAAGCACCACTTACACCCAGCATTACCCTGCAAGGTTGTAAGGCAGCTCAAATCTGAGGAGCAGGAAACCAGCGTCAACATACAGCTGAGGCATCCTCAGTCCAAACCCAGAAGTCTGAAAACCCTTCTCCCAGACCCCTACCCCAGACAGCTCCTAAATGACAAATAAACCTTATTGCAAAGTACTGCAAGCGTTGGGAACTGGGATGCTGCACATGGACAGTCCTCAAGGCACAGCTCAGCACGCTGCTTATGCTTAAGGCTGACCAACATTGAGGCACAAACAGACTGGTGTGGCTGTCACCTTCTTTAAATCACACCTGAGGGAGATGTAGCAGCTCAGTTGCTGCTGGTGGAGTTGCTCTGGAGGTGTTTGAGAACAGCACCAAAGAGGCCAGATTACCTCTACAGTTTGGATATTCACCAAAGAGGAGGAGGGAACGGGGAAAGAGAGGAAAAGGCCAATCGTGGATGCCTGACACCTGGAAAGAACAGATTGTGAGTAGGCACTCTCCTCTACTTGGGACGCGCTCCAGGAGAGCTGCGCTCCCTCCTGCGCGCTGCCCGTAGCCCAAACGAACCTGCCGCTCAAGTCCCAACAACTCAGGGACACTGGGTGCTTTAGAGAGGTCGATGGAAACCGCTCCTCACACACTCACACCGCAGCCTCCGCCTGAGGCCCGGGGCACCCTGCGGGGAGGTGGGCGCTGAGCCCCCGCCCTGCGAGCGCTTCAGCTGCTGCACCTTTGTTCAAAGAGTAGCAGGCTCCCACCCTTGGGTGCGCTGAAACACCAGGCAGAGCTAACCCTCCCCACACATTTAAGAGCAGCGGCAGGTGAGCATCCAAAGCCTTGTTCAGACATCCCCCCGGCCGGTCAGCTCGACATCTGGAGCGTGCGGGGACGTCCACCCCGGCCGCCCCTGCCCGCAGGTGCGTGGGGCGCCGCGGCCCAGGGACGTCGGGATCCCGCATCCGCCACAAAAACACCCCCGGGCTGGGGGGGGGAGAGGCACCTTCAGCACCACCAAGTCCCCACTCCCACGGCCCCCCTGGCACCACCCAAGCCGCGCACACAACA